AGGACTTGGCAAAACCTGTTTCTCCAACTTGTAGGAATGTGTAGGAGGAACTTGACAGTGATGGGGCAGTTCAACCTCTCCTTACCTTACATCAACTGGATGGACACCACCAACTTGTACTTTTCAAACCCCTAGTTAAAGGAGAGTTCTAGCCTCTGTAACTTAAAATCTGTTACTTGTTAACACAGCTTGATTACAACTACTTAAGCAACCTGTGTACTTACTTGAAAAGGGTCTAGTCACCTACAGACAGCTGCTTGCTAAAAATCTCACATACATGTTTTGGGAGTGGCAGGAGCTCAAGAGGAAATATAAAGGAAAACAGACTAGTGAATCTCCAGTTAGAAGTCCACACCACTCTGCTAGAGGCAAGAACACACAGTAAATGGTTACCATCATCTACTCCACACCTGTATTATTTTCTAAATATTCACAAGGAGATGACAGAGCCAGCCAGACCTTCGGGCTCATGGAGTCTTGCTATTCTCATACACCCCTAAAGTAAGAACATCTGACAAATGCAGTGCATTGTAGCACTGCTGCTGTTATTACTGTCAATAGCAGGCCTTTCCCGTTAGCCTTTTAGAAGTGAAGTTTTTTGTCTTCTTTAATACACTTTTTAGTAGAAAATGTTCTTATTCAAAAGCAGTGAAGTCTTAACATGACTGAGATATCACCTAGAAAAAAGGACTCTGCCTAGTACAACATGCATTCCCAAGAATTCTTGTTTACTGAAACAGAAAAACATACCTTCAGTGCCAAACACTCGTTTAGTAAACAGTGTTCAGCACCAGTATTTATAGCTGTGCTTTTAGGTTTAGTTTCGTAGGGACATCACCACATACAGACACTTCCTGCTACCACAATGGCATTGGCTACAAGAGCTCTCTACACGCAACAGGAGGGGACGGGGGAACACAGAAATAACGCCAACGGTACCTGCAGATTTCAGCCTGCTTTGAGAAAATGCCAGTACCACTGCTTCCCTCAACATCATCCCTTCTCTCCCCTGCAAAATAGCTTTGGAATCTGTTAGCCTACTTGAACAAGATTAGGAAGAAGCCCAGGAAGCATAACAAAAACCCTCAGAGGGGTCAAGAGGCTGGGGAAGGAGAGGCAGTCAAAACTCACTCTGTGGCCAGCTGGCTGCAGCTGAGAAGTATTTACACAGTTTAAAAACAACATTGTTCCATGGAGGTGACTATATTCCCCCTAAAACGGTGTGCTAGCAAAAAATATTCCCTGCAGACATTTCCAGTCTCCCTAAGTATCACTGTGGGCCAAAAGAACCTCAGACAAAAGCATGACACTGAACATCCATGGCCCAGTCACTGGTAAGCCTGAGCATGGAGGTCTGGCAAGGAGGACAGCCCAGAGGAAAACACAGTAACCAACTAAACTGATGAGTCACAGAAGGTAGTTGATGTGCTGACGTACTTCCCACCAGCAAGTGGAAGCCCACATATTTCTACAAGATGCTGTCCTCTGACACTATCAGAGGAAATAATCACCAGCCACTCCTACCCACGACAAAACAGCCTTTCAACAAGGAGAGCCAAAGCTTCCTGTGACCAGGCAAAAAGAGAAAGTTGAGTAACCTTTACCCATATTCCCAGAAGTCAGACATTTGGATGCTTTGCCTCAAGCAAGCATAAGATTTTGCTTCTAACGAGTCTTTGTAAAAGAAGGCTTAAAGGAACATAACTACACAGGTGACCATTAACAGGGACATTTAAGGTGGACTTTAATGTAAGTCCATTTTCAACTAGTATTTACAGTGATCCTTTTCCTCATCATTCCTAATAAAAAGCTTGCCTAGCAATAAGGCCATTTTGTAAAACTATCACCACAGTGGTTTTCATTTTCCTGCTAGTTCAGGAAAGACACTTCTACATTCACTTCTCCCCACCCCTTCTCTCCAAGCATTAGGAATACGTGAACAAGGTAAAAGCATTACCAGGAATGAAACAAGCCACATTAAGGCAAGAAGCAGCCAGATATACCAGCAGATATGAATGTACTGATTCCTGTGTACTAATTACTGACAAATGAGGTAATAGGAAAAAAAAAAAAAAGGAATTGCACAAGCTGTGCCTCTAGTCTCTGCTTTGCTGGAATTCTTCCTAACTCCACTCCAGAGAAATCCTTTACCTGGCTTCTCTTTCTTACAGCAAGACCTCAGTTCTCCCCTTCAGAAGAGAAGGTTCTGTGTATCCTTAAGGAAATTTGGGACTCTACACTGTAAGTCAGCTTCAACTTTGCCTTTACCAAACCCTCAGAAGTTACACAGTTAGAAAGAGTACACCCCTATCGGCAGCAGCCTGCAGATTGAAGTCCTGTCCTTTTCAACAGGTTGATCCTATTTAACCGCAGTGAAAACGAGTCACACTTGCTACTCTCATCGGGCTTGAGCAGAGATGGCAACATGACACTTCGTTTGCCTTCTTACTGATAGTAAAGTAGAAACCGAACCCCGCTCCTCCAAAAGAAACCCTCAAAACAAACAAATCTCACTAAACCTGGAACATTACCAAAGCAAGATGCTTTATGGATAGAAAACTTGTGCCAGGACCTTAACATTAAGGAGAGGCATATATGGTTTCCAACAGCCCTTCCCAGGGGAGACACCGCCGGCAGGTGCTGGGAAGGTGCTGAGCCCAGCTGTGCCCCGCTCGCTGGCCCGCACGCTCCGGGCCGATGAGGCACACACGGGCTCCCGCCCAGCTCCCGAGCGCGTCACGGCCGGCGCCGCGCGGCTCCCCCGGCCCGCGGGGAGGAGGAGGCGGCCCGGCCTGACTCACCGCGGAGGAGGGGCGAGCGCACCGGCCCGGGCAGCAGCCGCCGGCGGACCCCGTGCCCCGCCGCAGGTACGCCGCGAAGTGGCGAGCACGGCCCGTACTCACCCAGCACTTTCTTCGCCGACTCGACCGCCGCGGTTGTGGTTGTGGCTGCTGCGGCGGCGCCGGGGGCAGCCTCAGCAACAGCCGCACCCGGCGCGGCGGCGCTGGCGGGGCTCTTGGGAGCGGCGTCCGGGACAGCAGGCGCGGGCGGCGCGGCGGGCGCAGTCGGGACGGGCGGCGCGGCGGGCGCGGGGCTGGCGGTGCTGGTGTCCGGCGCCTCGCTCATGGTGCCGGGCAGAGGTGTTGGGTGCTCAGCCACGCTCGGTCTTACTGCCCCCAAAATGGCCCCGCCGAAGTTTTAACACAGTCAGCGGGGGGCCGGCGCTGCACGCGCGCCGCCTCATTAGCATTTAAAGGGGCCGCGCCCGCAGCCAGCGGGTGGTACTGGGTGTGCGTCCCGTGTCGGCACGGCACGGCACGGCACGGCACGGCACGGCACGGCACGGCACGGCACGGCACGGCACGGCACGGCACGGCACGGCACGGCACGAGGAGAGAATCTACAACTCATCGCATGCAATCTGCAACTTCTTCGTCATGGGAAGCGGAGGGGCAGGCCCTAATCTCCGCTCTCTGGTGACCAGGGACAGGACCTGAGGGAACGGCTGGAGCTGTGTCAGGGGAAGTTTAGGTTGGATATCACGGAAAGGTTCTTCCCCAGAGGGTGCTGGGGCACTGAACAGGCTCCCCAGGGAATGGTCACGGCCCCAAGGCTGCCAGAGCTCCAGGAGCGTTTGGAGAGCGCTCTCGGGGATGCACAGGGTGGGATTGTTGGGAACGGTCTCGCGCAGAGCCGGGAACTGGACTTGATAATCCTTGTGGGTCTCTTCCAGCGCAGGGCGTATTCCACGATTCGGGGACATAGCATTGCACGGCGTGCGTGGGCGCTCTCCGGCCGCTTGTCCGTGCCTGTCCGTGGCCACACGTGCACCTAGGTAAGCGTGTCCGGGTGTCTGTGTATCCGAGCGGTCCCTGAGACCGTCCCGCTCGGAGCGCTGGAGGGAGATTGCGCGGGCCCGCCTGAGGGGTTGGGGTGCGGGTGTTCCGTGCGGGCTAGGAGCGTGCTGCTGAGGGGCTGCCAAGTGTCTGCATTGGCGCGGTCGCTCCTATTGCTTCCCACTTTTCTCCCGTCGGCACTTACATTCCCGCGGGTGTCCTCCAGTTCCCACCCTCCTAGGGCATTTAGTTTTCACCGCTGCTGTCCCGCTGCTGCCTCATTTCGCTGCCACTGCCTGTATCTCTCTCTCGGCTTCTTGCCTGTGTCTTCTTCCTTTTTCCCGTCCTTCTCCCAGTTTTTGTACAACCTCCACGAGTGTAGCTTTGGTGCTGTTTCTACTCGCTTTTGCAGTTTGCACTCACCAGCACCCCATCCTTATTCCACATTATCCCCATATCGCTTTCTGCTTGTGTCCGTCGTTTTCTCCCAGATGGATGCCTGAACTGGAGCATCAGGGACATGGCCTTCTCCACATCCTCCACAGGCAAGGAAATAGTGCTTCTATGCACACAGTTTTTCCTTACTTCTCTGTCCTGTTTTTTCCTTTATCTGCCCTCCTGATCTCCACTTCTCAACAATTCCTTGACGGTTCTTGCAGCTAAAGAGAAGGTCTTTGGAGAGTATCCTTTGCTGAACATGGCTGAGACAGCAAAGCCAGCTGCTATTACAGTTCTCACTGCATCCCTCTGTACATAAGAGACAAAAATTATTTTTTTTATCCCATAGCTTTTAATCCTCAATGTTGTGTTCATTACATGACTTTAAGAATATGTCACTCTGTTTCCTTTCTCATTTGTCAGGATAGATGAAAATTTCTAAGAAGGTGCTCATTGGAATAAATTTCAAGAGGACAGTTTGTGTTATGGAAAATGTATAATCAAGACACGATGTGTACTTCATACATCAAATTTTCAGTGAAGTTGTTAGTTGATTTTTTTTCTTCCTCAAGTTAATTTTAGAGTTTACCAAAAAACCCATTCAACAAAAAAAATACAGTACAGAAGCTGTGAAATATACTGTAACAGAAAATTGGCAATGTTTCCCCCAGGTTTTTTATTTTAATATGAAAAAAACCTATAGAGTAATCTTATTTTTCCTTTTCTAGCTGCCAATTTATAATACATTTCCTCTGCTTCAATATTTAAAGTCGTTTGAATTATATTGGAAGAAATCAATCCACCAACTTAGGTAACAAAAACTTTTGCATGTGCTAAGTAATTTCTGCCTCTCTACATTCTCTGAATATTTCCCATCAACTTGTTGTAAATTACTATTTTATAGAACTTAGAGCAATACAGAACCACAGATTGGTTGAGATTGGCTTGTCCTTCGTGTGTCTGAAAATCCAGGATTAGTTGCTCCATACCTTTCCCATGGATCTAGGTGAGGCTGACTTCCTTCCTAAGTAAACTGGAAGCTCAGACTGCCTTAAGTGTAGGGGTAATTACATATTTCTTAATTAGATTATCACAAATTTCTCCTCTCACAGGATGCTGCCTTTTTTTCCAGCAAATGAGCTGGTTTGCAATAGTCCCTTTGATCCTCCTCACTTGATGTGCAATTATTCAACATATTTTGTAGCCCTCAGACTGGATGCAGAATTATTCATTCCCTTCTTTCCCCAGGATCCTGTGAGGATTAAACCAACACCAGTGACTCTGGAGTGCTGAGAACGGGCAAAAGCATCCCATAAGATTTCTGGATCCCATAGGTACAGTTTATTTGGTGATTTATGGATATGAATATCTTTTTCAATATCTTTTCATGGGCCTCAGGCTCTGCTGAGAAATCTGAGGGGAAAAACAGGATATGCAAGGTGCCTGCAGGTGTGGAGCAGGACACAATGATCCCATAAGGTAGTGCAAAGACAGATTGAACTATCAGATTTTACAATTACAAAATGTGGTGTTGATCAAAACATAAACATTTTGCAGGTACAAATAAATTTCTGTAATAGTATTTCTTGGGGAAAAACAAACAAAAAACCCTTTTCAATAAAGAAGAAAGGTTCTGTTTCAACAACTGTAAAAACCAACATTTTAACACAGCATTTCCAAATAATTTCATGTTTTTTTTCAAATTTTTTTTTCAAATAATATACAAATTTGTATATATAATATATATAATGTATATATAATATACTAATACAAACATAATGCTGAATTCTTTTTCTTTTCCTTTACAGTAAACAGTAAAGTGTGTAATATATATTACATTTTATATTGTCAGGAGCTGCTTCTCAAAGAACATCTTTAATATTGGAAAGGAGGCAGTTTTACAAAATCTACTGAGTTGTTTAAAGGTTGGTTGTTGAAGACTTTCATTAAGGGGGAAAACCCCAAACCTGACACTGACTTTAATGGGAAGTATTGTGAATTCTTTAATCTAACAGGAATCAAAGTAGTTTCTAGATTGAGTATCTGCAGGGTCCAGCAGTCAAATGCAAAATGCTGCTCCACCAAGTAGAATGCTTCAGAGTAAGACATAAGGGGCGGGTAAAGGATAAAAAATATTTCCTATGAAAGCCATGGGAGGTGATGTGGGACAAGGTAACAAAGTTACTGGCAGAGGAACTGACAGTTACTGTCACTGTTCCTTGATTTCTGTGGTGTTCTGCAAGCACCTCCCACCCCTCTCTGAGAAACACCGAGGTGAGCCTGGGGAATAAAACCTCCAGTGGACAATTTATTAGAGAAGTCTCTGAACTGAGATCACACTAGTCAAGAATTTTAAGCTAAATAAATTAACAAAATACTTCAAAACTTGTCAAAAGATTCATTTGGATATGTTATGTGGGTGTATGGTGGTCTACATACATCTGCTCTATTGTGGGAAATGAAGAACAATTCCTCTCAAAATAACCAAGAGTTTGGCATTGACTTGGGAACTGTTGGATTGAATTCACTCTACGTTCAGACTTGAGGTACCCAAGAATTATTGTTCATAAACAAATTTGGATCCTTCCAGATGGAAGGATTTAAAGGACTGCCACAAGGATTTGTGTGTTGCAAAACACGAAAAAACTTCTGAGCGAATTAATGATGAGTACCTGGCTGGCTGTGATATATGAAAAACCTGATTCCAGGCTAGAGCTGAAAGACATGAAACTGGGAAAAAAGGTGATGATGATGATCCTGTTCCCTGCCTGCTGCTTTGTGTCCCTGCTCCTGCCAATGCTCCTGGTGTCATCTGAGGGGTTAAGGCAAGTGCACAGGAGGTGGTGTTGCTCTAGCAGAGTGTAAGGTGTAGCTGGAAGGACCTGATGAAGACAATTAGCTTTCCAGAGCCCGAAATGCTTGGTGAGAGGCACACTGGCTTGCTCCCCTGGCTTGCTCCCTGGACCTTTGTTTATTTACCATTTTAAAGAGACTGGATGCCAGCCAGCTGCAGGCTCTGTGAGGAGGCAAAGGAAAGGGATGAGTGTCTTTGCAAAGGGCTTTGCAAGTGGTGATTTAGAGGTCAGTCACAAACAAGTGTAGTAGCTAAATTTCCCCTCAGAAATCCCTTCCGCAGCCGCTCACGCTGACCACAAACCACATCTTTACCAAGGACTCGAATAGCACAGAGACCACACACAGAGCTGCACTGAACGTGTGTGTGCCTGCACTGTGAAATAGATGGACAGGAGATCTTTCTCCTTTTTAATGCCTTTATTAAAAAGAATCAGCTCAGGTGGGGAGAAATCGACGGGTCGCGTCCACACTGCCGTTGCTCCCGGAGTGGCACGGAGGAGGAGGAGGGTGATGCAGCTCTGTCCGCTGGTCTGCAGGCAGAGCTGGGGATTCCGTCCTCACGGGAGATTAGCAGATTCCATCTTTTAGGTCCAACACCTCGGGTCCTCTCCCTAGTCAACATCTTTAGGTTAGGGTGAGAAGCAAAAAGGATCCAAGCAGGCACTGGACTACGCACTCACCCTTAAACATCACCTAGGTCCCCTAATTCTATGTTGGCTCGTTGTTTTTAGGGGTTTTCCTGGAAAACTGTAAGATTTGGAGCAATGCATTTCTCATCTGCATACTAGCTCTGATGCCACTCCCATGCCCTGCTGCTCCAGGGTCCCAGTGTCCCTCCCTGGCAAGCCCCAGGGTGACAATGGCTAATCACCAACCATTAACAGGCAATTGAAGAAGAACTCTTAACAATGAAGCTAACTTAACAGCAACTGGTCCAACCGGTTTTAACTCTGCAACCTTAAACAAAAATCGGTAACTTTTATTCATAACACACTGCAGAACAAAAACGGAGACTGGCAGAGCCCCCGTCACCTCCCTGCTTGGTCAGGGCAGACAAGGGCGAGCTGCGAGCAGCACCAGAGATCTACGGGGACCCTTGGTCTGAGCCGGGCAGCTGCAGATCAGAGCCCAGGCAGAGGCTTGGCGTGAGCACTTCAGCTCAGAACCGCACACGCTGCCTTCGCCCCTCCAACACCTCTCTTGGAAATGGCCTTTCCCTTGAATTTAATGGTTCTTTCTGAAGCCATTGCCGGGCTGTGCAGTCCTTTCCACAGTGACGATCTGCGCGTCACTACGGAAGGCACGACGGCGGGAAGGGGCGGGGCCAGGTCGGCATCAGGCAGCCGAGGAGACACCTTTGTAAGGAGCGAGGGCCTTCGTGGTACCACACCAAAGATGGCGACCCAGCAGAAAGCTGCTTCTGCCAGCACCCAAGATGGTGACGAAGTGAGGCGGTGACGTGATGCCACACCAACGATGGCGTCTCACCCGGGAGTTACTTCCGCCAGTACCAAAGATGGCAAAATAGCCCGGTGATCACGTGATGCCACACTAAAGATGGTGCCTCATCCGACAGCGATCTCTGCCAGTCGCCAATGTGCAGGAAGTCACGTGACGCCACACCGAATATGGCGGGTCGGCACTAGACTTATTTGACCTTCCAAAGATGGCGGTAGGGGAGGAAGTAGCATCCCGGAAGGAGCCCGCCCTTCTCAAAGATGTCTATTCGATTGCCTGAACCCGAGTCTGACGCCGATCCCGCGCTTCTTGCGCGATTTTCCACGGCGTTTCCCGGTGTGGGGACACGGGCTGTGGGGCCAGCGGCGCCGGGAGCAGGCAGCAGGATGCAGCTCCTCTTTCGCTGGAGGTGCGAGGTGGCGGCCGGAGCTGGAGGCAAGGTTTGCGAGGCAAGGCCAGCAGGGAGAATTCCCGCTGCCAGCAGCTCCCTGGGAGTGCTGGGTGGACTCGGGCCGGGGAGGTCGGAGGTGTGGGGGGTGTTCAAGTCCCCGGAGCTGCTGAAATGGCAGCTGGCAGCAGCCTCGTGTGTCCGTGTGGTACCAGCCATGGCGCTGGCAGCCAGGTGAGAGCTGGGAAGTGAACATCAGCAGTCTGGAAACAACGCAGAGAAATGGGTTAACATGGCATGGACTTCTCCCAAGCATCTTGTGAAAAACGCCAATCACTTGTTTTAAAATTTTAAAAGTTTAATAATAATAAAATGGTTATAAAAATAGTAATGAAAATTAGAGCAATAAGAATTTGGACAATCAGAGTTAGGACAATAAAGGACAATAAAAAAAGCAAAGGATTACAGACATCTGAGTGCTCTGCTCTGTTCTGGAACACGTTTTGCTAACAAAGGATTAACTCTTAAAAGCAATAGCCCACTGCGTATTCATATATCTCATACATGATGCAAAAATTCCTTTCAAACAAAGGGTGTTTTCTTGGTTATTGCCAACTCCCCTCCTCATCTTGTAATTCAGTCGTCTTGGTCCCTTGAAGTCTGGGCTATCCCCATAAGGAGGCAATAATTCTTCTCTTGGGATCCTGGTGTCTTGTTGCTATCTGTGCAAAGAATTTCTTGATTATCTTACCCATTCCTTGAGCTAGTTACAAAAAGTATCTTACATCACATAGTTTCTATTTTATATTATGCCATAGCCTAAAAACTATATTTACCACACTACTTAAAAGAGATTAATAAAGCATAACTTTCCAACATAACTTCTATAGATATAGTATTAATATTTGCAAAGAGCCAATCATATAAACTGCATTTTTCACAACCTAAAAATAAAAACCGTGTTTGGTTTTGCTTTAGGAAGTCAACATTGGAGTGACTCCCGAGGTGTTGGCATTTGTTTTAAAGTAGTTTTGGTGAGGTACTGCCTCCGTATCTTTCTCACAGCTGCTGTTGGCTCAGCAGGTGCCCCTGATCTCCCTGTGAGCTGCTGCTCTGTTCTTCCAGCCCAGTGGTACATTGAAGACAGCTCCTGCTGTTCCTGAGGGGGTTTTCTGCCTGCAGGGACAGTTCTGGTGCCATTGGAGCCGTGGTGAGAAGGGAGGGCTGGCAGTGACAGGTTTGGGATGCTCTTCCTGTGGCACGCACATTCCTCCCTCCCAGGCAGGCTCTGAGCTTGGATTCCACAGCTGGCACTTGCCAAGCACTGGAAGGGCCTTGGCTGTGCAGGGAACAGAACATTTAAGGGGAAAGCAAAGCTGGGGATGTTCTGGCTTCGGAAAGATCCTTTTGGAATTGACAGTGAACTTTTCCAGCTGTGCCAAAACGAGCCAGTGAAGGTGCGGGAAAGTCTGGAAGGTTCCTTGTGCCCAAAGGATCATGGCAAGCGCAGCACTAAAAAAGTCTGAAGTAAATCTTGCAGTGCCTTTTGGTGGCTGTTGAGCTTGGTAGAGATGCTGAGTGTGAAATTGCAGGGAAGCTGCCTTTGCTGCAGTGGTTGGAGGGAGAAGCAGTGGCAGCTGTTTGCTGGCTGCTTCTTGCCCACCTTCCCCTCAGTCCCCTGGAGCTCCAGGTAACCATACCACCTTTGCTTTTCCAAGGTTTTTTTTTTTTTTTGCTGAAGGGTTTCTAAATGTGGCCATGGGCTTTGCTGCAGCTGGATTTTATTTCTGCTTGAGGGTCTCTGGTTTACCAGTTCCCCTGCCAGGTTCACTGCAGTAGAAGCAGGCACGTAAAAGCCCAGGGCCTGGACTGGGATGCTCCACACCTCTGTCAAGCACAGGGGTCGTTGCTTGGTGTTGATTCTCCAGTCCTGTCTGCTCAGGCCGTGTTCTGACC